ATTAACGACCCCCATGGGTTCCAAACTTTATCCTAATGAGGCAGTTGTACTCCTGTTTTCCCATCTGGTCTCACAACAGCCAAGGAAGACAGGCAGAGTCAGAATTGTTTATCCTATTTGACATTTGAGGAAACCAAGATCTGGAGAAGAGACATGACTTGCCCAAGGTCACACGAGTGGCTGGAGGCAGGGTTGGGATTTGGACCCAAGTCTCTGATTCCGGTTCAGCGGTTCAGCAGCACATGGTCTAATGGCTGAGACCTGAGTTCTTTCCAATTATGTCACCTTGAACAAATTCTGTAACCGAAATGAGCCTTTCTTTTCTTACCTGTAACAGCATTGCCTATCTCACAGGCACCTGGGAAGGGTTAGGTGCTTTGCCCAGTGCCTCCTGCATAAGAAACAATAAGCCCAGAGCTATTATTTTAATAAACCCAAGTCATAACCCCTGCTGCATGGCTGGGATGTACTGCTGCTGTGTGCCATGAGGAACGCGCAAAGGCTCTGTGGAAAGAATGTGAGGTGGTGGCTGTGCCCCAACCCCAGGCAGGACCAGAGCCCAGTCACAGATGGTCTGTCCCTTCCTCACCCTTCCTGATTCCCTTCTAGGGCTCCAAAGCTCTCTGTGCCTGACTTTGTCACTCTTTCACTAATATGTGTAAAATGTAAACAATTAATTTCACATGCTATTTCCCCTTCCCTCCCCAGAGGTAATCACTATCACTGATTTGGTGTGGTCCTTCCAGGCCTCCTCTAAGCGTTTGTGTGTGTGTGTGTGTGGGGGGGGGGCTTTGTTTTGTTTTTCCTTTAACACAAATTAAATCATTTTGTATTTATTTTGTCACATTCTAACTTAACAAGTCTTGGAATTTTTCTGTGTCTGATCTAATTCTTCATTCTTTTCATCTGAATTTTGGTATTTGGTAGTATGGATATGATGAAGTTTGCCCAAAATTTCCCTGTTGATGGACATTTGAGTTGTATCTGATTGTTGCTATTATGAATATTATAATTAATATCTCTTAAACATATATTTTAGGGCACATGTGCCCAAATATTCCTCTGAGATACAGAGATCCTTAGAAGTAGAACTTCTGGGCCAAGCAGTAAGCACATTTTCAAATGGAATAGAGTGTGTATGTGCAGTGACCGATGCTCCAGATCTCAAGGCTGTGAGGACACCGAACCACAGCAATGACTGAGGTGACCCTGTTGCACCGGTGCCCGATGCTGCACCCAGAACCAGGAGAAAACCACGCAGGAGAAATGTATTCAGATCCATCCATAATGCATCATGACTGACTATAGACTTACAACCACAGGATGTGAGATCACTAAGTGACCGCTGAGTACGAAACTTCATGGAAACCAAAACACAGGCGGAGGAAACAGAATGGAGGTGAGAATTCACTAAAAATGCCTTATTTTATCATTTTGGTTTAAAGTTATTATAATTGGGACTTTAAAAGTCATGTATGAAGACTCTCATTACTATCTGCTGAAATACTCTCTGCTAACGCCTTTACCTAAGGCTATAAGTTCTGCATCTTTATCACAATTTTCTGTGGAAGATTTTCTTCCCTGTTACATGTGCCATGACAAGGTTATTGCCTGCCCCGTTCACTTTTGGAGAATGGCTTCCTTTCTGCCTGTTCGGGGAGCACTGTAGTTCTGCCCATCCCTGGCCCCTTTTTGACCCAGATGATTCCTGTAGGGAACTGAGTGTTAAAGTCCTTTGGTTTAACTGAGTGTAAACTCCATTTCTCAGTGCTAAAAATTAGTCCCTCCAGCCCAGCTGGCATGGCTCAGCGGTTGAGCATCGACCTAGGATCCAGGAGATAGTGGTTTAATTCCCAGTCAGGGCACATGCCCGGGTGCGGGCTCAGCCCCCAGCAGGAGGCGTGCAGGAGGCAGCCAGTCAATGACTCTCTCATCATTGATGTTTCTACCTCTCTCTCCCTTCCTCTCTCTAAAATCAATAAAGGCACACACAAAAAATTAGTCCCCCCTGACAGGTAGCAAAAGGATGCCACACTGTCACACCACACCCCATCAGTGCTGGAAAAATACCTCTCCTCCTCTGGCGGGAGCTGCTCAGGGCATCTCTGGTAAATCAGTCCACACCCACCCTGTTGTGAACTCCACGAAGACTCCCAAACAAACAGTAGCAGGTGCCATAGATTAAAAATACTTATGGAAGCATTTTTACCTTGAATTAAATATCACCCTCTGTACTCCCACCATGCCCTGGGCTTCCCTCTGAAATGGCACCCAACACACTGCTATTTCTGCCCACGTCTGTCTCTCTCACTAGACTGTGAACAAATTGAGGACAGCAACTGTCCTGATTTATCTCTATGTCTCTGCCTTCTACTGCATGGTCTAGCACCTCCTAGATGCTTAGTCAAGGCTTCTTAAATGAATGACCAAATGGGGAAGATTATATTCAGCAGCTTGATGCTTACCATGAATGTGAAAACTACCACAGTCCACTGTACCAGGGGAAGACTTGGACCAACCATCAAGAATGACTATTGCAGATGTGCCCAATGGAATGATGCCTTTTAAGAGTTTATTATAAAATCTTGTATTCATACAGAGCAAAAACATATAAAGCCTACATATTTAATTGTAAAGCAGAAAGTTTAATTGTAAAGGAAACATCATGTCACCATCATTCAGGAGAGAATGAAACATTGACGCTTCCTAAGGCCCTGTTGCCCCTCCCTGATTACAACCCTCTCCTGCTCCTACAGAAATAACCATGATTCTGGTTTTTATAATAAGTATGCCTTCTGTTTTCTTCACAGTGTATGACATCTGCATGCATTGATTAAAAAATACTGTGGTTTTGCCTGTCTTTAAAATTTCTATAACTGGAATCCTACCATATATATCTATGTGGATCCTGATTTTTTTTTGCTCAACATGATGTGAGATTCCTCCATGTTGTTGCATGTATATGTAATTCCTTCATGTTTTATGGACATATAGTGTTACAAGTTATGCACATTTCACAAATTAGAGAAATACTGCTGTGCTAGATCATAAAGTATGTGTATCTTCAACATTATAAGATAGGGATAAAATGTTTTCCAAAGTATTTGTACCAGCGAAGGCTCCCACTGTCAATGTATGAGCTCTGATGACCCACAACCTTGTCAACCCAAGTATCATCAGACTTGGACATTTTAGCCAGCCTGGTTTCTAGTGTTATCTATTGGTTGTAATTTGCACTTCTCCTATTACTAAATGAGGTTGAACACTTTCTCCTATATATTTTTTGGACATTTGTTTACTCTCTCTTATGACTATTCTGCTCATTTTTCTAGTGGCTTCACTGCCTTTTCTGATTGACTTGAAGTGATTCGTTATATATATTCTGGCTATGACTCCTGAGTCCTTTAGTTGGTTACATGCATTGTAAATAGCTTCTTTTGTTCTGTAGCATAGCTTTCCACGTTTTGGGGGAAGGAGGGGTGTCTTTTGGTGAACAGAAATTCTACATTTTAAAGCAGGCAAATTTATACTTTCTTGTTCTCTATGTTTAGAGCTTTTAAAACAAAATCTTGTTTAAGAAATATTTTCCCATCCCAAGATCAGTACTATAGTCTCCTATATAGTTTTATAGTTTTACCTTTCATATTTAGGTCTTTAATGAGGTTGTTTTTTTGTTTTGTTTTGTTATAAGCACAGGATTGACTTAGATATATATTTTAGTAAGCCAATGCCAGGATCTATATAGATAATGGACTTAACAAGGTAAGAATGGGATCAGGGAAACCCAACAAGTGAAAACAGTAGACAGTGAGCAAGTGCAGGGACATATTTTCGAGATAGAGTCCATGGCAGTTGTGTTGATTTGGTGGAAGAAGCATTTCCCAGCAGTCAGAAGATCCATTTCTAATGCTGCTCCTCCTCACCCCAGGACAGCAACAGGGTCTGTTTGTTTCCTCACCTACAAAATGAGCGAGGTAGACTAGGTGAAATGTTAAAGTCTGGACCCCAGATCAGGTAGCTGATAGTGCAAATTACCATGTGGAAGTGTCTAAGTGTGTTCAAATTCTCAAGGTGGCATGTGAGCTCAATAGGTACGTAAGAACCATACATAAGAACCATGGTCCAGATGATCTGTCATGAAGATCTCTAAGCTGGATCCTCTGCCCAGGTCTCCAGAAACTTCCTCATAAAAATTCAGAAGGTCATTTCCCTAAAGTGAAGGAAGAGGCCATGATCTTCTCGATCAGGCATTTTTCAAGTAATTTATTTAAGCCTTAGATATATTTATTTATCAGCAACTTGGTCCAATCTTGTATGTGAATGGGGCCTAAAATACCAGCTCAACATGATGACTCATACTTCTATCTTTTTTAAAAAAAAGAATAGGGGGGAGAGATTGATTTTTATGTTCACTTGAGGTAAGAGACAAATTTCGTTTTTGACATATGGATACCAGATAGTACTAATACCATTTATTATATGTCCATCTTCTACATGATCACAGAGTCACTTCTTTATATATTGATTGTCCATATATTTAAGGGTCTGTCTCTGGGCTCTATATTCTGTTTCATTAATCTCTATGTCTATCCATGTCTTAATAACTAACCTCTCTGTATTCTCATCTTTATTACCATGTAGCCTTATTAATATTGAAAAATCTATTTGATTCTTTTAAGCAGATACTTCTTATATTTTATCTGACATTTTAGCCAGTCTAATATGTTTCTAATGGTATCTATTTGCTGTTGTAATCTGCACTTCTTCTATTACTAAAGAGGTTGAAAACTTTTTCCATATTTATTGGATATTTGTTTATTTGATATTTGTCTTTCTTTCCATGGAAGGGTTGATTTCATAGCCAACTTATCATTAATGGAAATAGAAGTCCCAATGTTATACTTTTGGCCCTGCTATGTAAGTCATTCTTTCCCTCAAAAAACATTTTGATGTCATTCTCTGTTCTTAGCACACTGGTATCCTGGGAGCAGAATCTAAGATCAAAGGTTTCCAGAGTGCCCTTGGTCCCAGGGACATGCCATTTTGGTGATGGCTGCTTTGACATCCTTGTTTCTCAGAGTGTAGATGAGGGGGTTGAGGACAGGTGTGAGAATGGCGAACACCACATTGCCCATGATGTGGAAATCCAGGGGCAGGTCAGCCCTGTAGGACACATAGGCTATGGCAATGGAGGAGTAGTAGGTGCCAACCACCAGGAGGTGGGAGCTACAGGTAGAGAAGGCTTTTGAGCGTCCTTCTTGGGAGCTGATGCGAAGCACTGAGGCCAGGATGCGGGCATAGGAGAGAAGCACCAGCAGAAGGGGCAGGAAGGACACTACCATGGCAATGCAGAAGCCCATGAAGGTCTGGCCCGTGGTGTCAGAGCAGGAGGCCTGGACCACAGCCAAGTGGTCACAGAAGCAGTGGTAGATCTGGGCCACAGAACCAAAAGCCATGTGGGATGTCTGCACCACTGCTGGGATGGGCAGGAGGAGGGCAGTGAGCCAGGCACTGGCTGCCAGTGCAGCATTGGTCTGCGGGGTCATGAGGACAGGGTAGTGTAGTGGGCGGCAGATAGCCACATAGCGGTCATAGGCCATGACCACCAGGATGAAGGCTTCAGAGCATGTGAAGCCGTGGAAGAGATACATCTGCAGGAAGCAGGCAGGGAAGCTGAGGAAGTGGTCCCTAAGTAAGAGTAGGGACAAGATCTTGGGGACAGTTGACGTGGTAAGGAGGATGTCCAGGGCTGAGAGGTTGATCAGGAAGAAGTACATGGGCTTGTGGAGGCTGGGCTCTGCCACCACAGCCACCAGGATCAGGGTGTTACCTGCCAGGATGAGCAGGTAGAAGAGCAGGAAGACGACGAACACAGGGAGGAAGAGGGCCTCCTGTAGAGAGGGGATGCCCACCAGGTAGAAGACAGGCAAAGAGTCTTTTGATCTATTACAGGCTGTGGCCTCCATGGTAGCACCGAGCTGTGTGCCAGGGTGACAGGCAGCCAGAGCATCTGGAAATGGGAAAAACCAGGAGTTTGGAAGGAGAATTCTGTACAGTTTAAATCATTTATGACCAAGTTTAGAGAATTGGTGGTACCCTTCAATATTGATTCTTTCATCTGAACTCACGATTCACTCCTTCCTCTTTCTAGCAATTATTTAGCAAGTACCTGCCATGCGCAAGGCTGTGAGAAGGAAAACAAGGGTCTCAAGGCTCCTGCCTTCACAAGGCTTACATTCTACTAAAAGGGTGATGTGTTTAACATCCAATCCCACAGTTAATTATCTAGTTAACAACTGTGCTGAGTGCATTGAAAGGGCTTCTTTCTGCCCCTTGTCTGCTCCACGCCCCATAGTATCTTTTGGGCATCAGATCTTAGATGAGCTCTTAAATCCCTACATTACTGTATTTTCTTTTGCTCTTGCTTAAAGTTCTACTAAGTGACATCACTATCACCACATCACTAGCAAGGGCTGATTTTCCCAAGGTTTTCTGTAACATGCTGCTGCTCAGTCTACTTATTACCCAGGGAGTGGCTCCTCTCTCATGTCCAGGTGCAGCAGCTCTGCCTGCCTCTGAGTTCTCGGGGTGCCCCCCCCACTCACGTTTCAGTGGCAGGAGGGGCAAATGCCCTCTTGTAGGACAGCTCTCTTCCTGATGGAGCCCAAGCTGACGGTTCATCTCCCACTGCTCAGGCACACCTTGGCTCTATTATCTTCCTTCCTCGTGGCTGCTATGGCCCAATGGGTGTTCTGTTTAGTTCTTTTATGCCCACTCTGCCCTGGGCTCCTGTAATAGCAAGAAGAAGCCACGGGGAGTTGTTGTGAGAGCCATTGCTGCTAGGAGGGACCCAGAGACCTGAAAGCTGTGGCTTCTCAAAGACAAAAGAACCCTAAAATAGAGATTGGTCACTAAATTGTCCTGGGGTCAACACCGGGACGGCTAGACTTGGGCTGAGGCAATACTGGCTAGGTCCCACTTCCAATGGCCTCTGATGAGTGGCCCAGGCAGCTTCATATTTACATCTGCATCACTGCTGTTTGAACCCCAGTGATTCCACAAGCAGTTTCCCTTTGAGTTCTTTAAAACGACATCTATCTTTTTTTCTTTTCTAAAACAAATGAACAAAAACCACCTTTCATGTTCCAGAATCATACAATATCAGAACCCAAAAAAGGTTTTTTTAAATCTTCAGTTCTAACCCAGTTCCCCTGCCTCTCCACTTCCTCACCACCTTTTAATATTTTCCTGCTTTGCTCTGATACTGATTTGGATTGTGTAGTCTGGCTTCTAGATTTGGAAGTGATGAATGGCAAATGCTTTGTTTAAAATGAGCTTAGGAGAAACCAGCCTGGGTGTGTACTCCTTGAAAGAAAACTTCAGAGGCCACCCCCCACCCCCCACCCCATGACCTGGGCAAGAGGGTAAACCTGATTGTCTCCATTTTAAATGATTATCCCCTAGTTAACCAGAATCCCATTCCAAGTTTGTCACCAGGTTTTTTTCTCACACCTGAAGGGATGCAAACTGCACTGCCCTGGACATTTCTGCTCTCAGAGAAGCAGTCATGGCTGATGGTCCCAGGTGAGGGCAGAAACATAAAGAGCCAAAGCTAGAGGGGTCCTGAGGGGCCATCAGGTCCAGCTGCCCCTCTCCTGCCTCCTCTGCCTTACTGCTTTGCAGATGGAGGTAGGGATGCTGAGACTCGGGTGGAGCGGTGGCACATGGCTTTTCCCTGGCAGGTGGTGCTGGACTATCCAACAGGTAGATCAGGTACATGCTGGGTCACCACAAGGCAGGGGCACCGAAAAGACTTCCTGAAAGAATTTCACATTGGATATTTCAAAGCACCATAAAACTAGATCATAGAAAATATTTGAATTTGGCTGGATTTTCTCACACTTATTTTACAGGTTAGGGTTCTTGTTTTAGTTTGAATTACATCTGAGTGGTGCAGCCCTGTGCTTAGAGCCTAAAAGGATGCAATTAGTTTTTCTGGGCACCTGACCCTGGTTCTACACCTCCCCTCCCTACATCTTGCTCCTGTCTCTCCACTCTGGTCTTTGCTGAGATTTGGCACTTTACCCCCAAGTTCACTCACCTGCCAAGCCCTGTCCACTTTGGTCTCTCCTGTGGTGTCTCCTTTGTATCTTCCAACCTGGCCTGGCAGAGAAGAGCCAGGCGGGTGCTGAGCTGTGGCCCATTAAACCCTCTAATCCCTCCTTTCAGCCAGGTCTGCTGGGGCCCTCTCCCTCAATATGGGGCTCCTTGGGGACTGTGCTCCCTCCACCCCTTCGCGCAGGATTAACTTTTGGCCCCACCAGAGCATGTGTTGGGAGGGGATTTGCCCTGGGGATTTACTGATAATGAGAAGAGCATTGTTAACAACCCTTGGTGCTTCCAGACCTTACAACCAACAGAGCAACTTTTATTGACATTATTCCATCTGGTCCCCAGAACAGCCAGGGGAGACAGCAGCCCAAGAGGAGGAAAGTAAGGTCCAGGAAGTGAAATGACCTGCCAGTGCTGACGCTGACGTTTAGTGTCGGAACCGCAGGTCACACCCAGGGCTGCATCCCCAGGCCTGTGCTCTGCACTATTGCACCATGGGTAAGGGCATAGGGTCTAAAGTAAAAAGCCCTGAATTTGAATACCAGTTTTAGTATATTTTAGCTATGTCGCCTTATGTAATTAATCTCTCTCTCTCTTTTTATTTTTTTTTAATTTTTACTTTTTATTGAATTTGTTGGGGTGGTCTTGGATAATAAAATTATATAGGTTTCAGGTGTACAATTCTACGATACACCATCTGTACATTGCTTAACCTCTTTGAGTCTGAGTTCCTCCATCTGTACAATGGAACCGAACAATATTACCCATCTCAGAGAGTTTCTGAGAGGATTTTACAAGATAAGGGCTAGAGGGTACTTGGAGTGGAACATGCTTATTTGAAAATTACTACAGGAGTTTTGTTTGTAACACTTGGCACAGAGGAGGTGCTTCCTGCTATATTCAGTTTCCCAGGGGACTGTGGCTGTCCATCTCCTGCAAGATAAGATGTAACTTTCATGGGTTCTTATGGTCTCTAGATGCCAAACATCTGGCTTTACCAGGAACTGCAGTCAACAGCTGGCACCTGAGCTTAGACTACTTAGTACTCAGTAGTCGGTTTGTTCTGCTTATGAAGCTACTCTCTTGCTCCTTCTCCCCCAAAAGGAAAGCAATAGGGTTAGTGCCATTATACTATATCTTAGGATGTATGTGCGTGAGCTGTTAGCATCTAACACTCAGCTGCTGGAGGGCCAGCCAACAATTGCGTCTACTACAGTCTACCCCTTGAACCCCTCAGATTCATTCACTTATCATGAGACGTTCATTCCATTTGGACACAGGGTTCCCACAATTTGAAGGAAAATCTCTAAGAGAAGAGTTGATGGGATTAATTCTTTCCCCTCCTATTTTTGCCGATCTGACAAAAAAAAGTAGATATAATTTTGACTCATTAACACTAGATGGCTATTGTTGTGTTGGTTGTTGTCATTTTTTATTTGACAATTTAAGGGAAAAGAGGTCAGTGCCCCTGACTAAATAGGCAGGTGTTACATGTTTTAAAAATTCTTACAGCACACCAGTGAAAATTGCTGTACTAGATGGCTTCCCTTCTAGCCTGCTCATGCCCTCCTCACTGGTTACTATGCCTCACCAGGCTATGGTTGCTTTAATTGCCCATTTACAGTTCAACTCTGTCATGGAAGAAACAAGAAATGCTTCTGTGCCTGAGAGCCAACATCCAAGCCCTCATTGTAGAAGAGCAGTCTTACTTTCTCTTGAAGATTGAGGTCAATTAATTACTTTTGCAAATATGGTAACTTTTTTTCTTTTTACACATTTAGTGAGACTTACTGTGTCTCCTGTGGTATCAGGACTGCTTAATCCACAAAGTCTAAAGTCATTGGGACTGAAGCACAAATTCCCCCAAATGGGTCACTGTGGGTAATGGTGAGTGAAGCCACTCTAATTTCCACCCAGTGATTCTTGGCAGGAAGCATCCTTTTTTAATGGGCAGTCATGCTGAAAATGGATCCTTCCCATTGGACAGGAACATGAACCCATTACCATTCCCCAATTGGAGCAGCTAGTGGTTTTCTTATGCAGTCATTTCAAGCCTCCACCTGCCCCCAACTATATTGCTGATACATGAGTGCTCACTAACAAACAAGTGATACCAATGCCAAAATTATAAGAACTTACAGGAAAAAAATTTGACATTGAATTAAATGCTAACCTCTTGACTCCCACAAACCCCTTTGCTTCTCTCTCTCCTATCACCTTATATTATTTCTCTGAGTCTGACTCCCCCAGTAGACAATGAATACCTTGAGGGCATCAGCTGTGTCTGGTTTATTTCTGTCTCCAGCACCTAGTAAATATTTTTGTAAATGATTGCATGATCGACTTTTTATTCATTACATTAACAACTGGTAAAAATTGTGAAGACTACAATTATTCTATAGCATCAGTGGGAAGGTTTCTTGATCCACTAGTATTTGAAGACCAGGTTTTAGCTTTCTGCTCAACTAAATGAAGCCAATTTAGGCTGCTGTAATTCATTGAAAAATATTTGTGTTTCTATTTGGTGCTAGGAATTGTCATTGGTATCCAGGGAACTGGATTGGTTGCATCCAAGGATTAAGGCCCCAGAATGCCCTGGGTCCTGGGGACATGCCATTTTGGTGATGGCTGCTTTGACATCTTTGTTCTTCAGTGTGCAGATGAGAGGATTAAGAGCAGGTGTGAGAATGGTGAACACCACATTGCCCATGATGTGGAAGTCCAGGGGCAGGTCAGCCCCATGGGCCATGTAAGCTATGGCAATGGAGGAGGAATAGGTGCCAACCACCAGGGAGTAGGAGCTGCAGGTGGAAAAGGCTGTCAAGTGTCCTTCTTAAGGGCTGATCTGAAGCAC